TTTTTCTAATATTAATTTTAATATTTATTACAGTAACTTAATATATAACAAGAATAAGAAGGAAGCTTACTGGATTCTTCAATATAGTAAGAAAATTCTGTCTGTGATTTCGCAGAGCTTCTGTGAGTTCATGGTATTGAGGATCTTGAATATTTGGGACTGATATTATATATTTCTCAACAAGACTTTGCAATTCTTTATATGGAGTCCACATATCTTCTGTTGTTGCTGCTCTGTCTACATAAGATAGAAATACTTTTTTAGATTTAAAAATATCATCATAGTCATAAATATTGAAATACATATTAAATACATAAATATATATGGTAAATAAAATCTTATTAATATATAATATATAAAATAAATATCATATTATATGTATAACTATTATTACATGCATTAACTTTTGTAAATAAATATATCTTATCTGTAAATAAAGCTTAGATAAACATATGTAATATTGTTTCGATTTATGAGAGATACAAATTCTTTAATTCTTAATTATAATATATTATTACACAATTTGATTTCGTGAAATTTATCTTCGATATAATTTAAAGACTTGTTTTAAGGAATTGAGAGGTTAAGCTTGTCATATAAGATTACAAATATTGAGAGGTTAAATTTGCCGCGTGTACATTCAAGAGCTATTACCTTCAGACATTTTTTTACACGTTAAGAAACGACGTTACAGAAACAAATTAGAAATAACGAGCCACTGTAATTAAGTGCAAGGTAATCGTATAAATCTCATAAAATATAAAATACCGGTCGGTACCGGTTAGTCTGGCGGGAACGAGTCATGGGTCATGGGGAAAACTGGAGCATCGAACACTAATGTCAAGATAAGATGTCAAACAACGTATCTCTGTTCAACTTATATCATAAAAAATGGCGTATGAATTACTTTTCTTCTACTTTTCAAATTTTATATATTATTTTTATGTTTTTTACAAGTGCAATATGTAAGAAAAAAAATTTTTAACAGTAAATTTTTGTATGTGCGGTCACATATGTTTAAATATAAAGTTACATTAATTGTGAGAATATTTAAAGACTACACGTATTTAAATATTTACATAATAACTGTATGTATTTTGCATAATAATCATATGGAAAATATGGGAAAATATGACTTCATTCATAGTTGACTGGCCGGCATTCTTAGTCGGTTTTTATTTTAAGCCAGCTTATATAAAGATATGATGAAGTAACCAAATTATCGACATTATAGTCATATAAAAATCTCCAAATTGACTGAACAAAATAAAAAATCCTTTTATAGGATTAAAATAGACGCAAAATTACAGAGTGATGCAATGGACTTTATACTAAAATCGAAAAAAAGTTAAGTAAGTTTTTAATTTTTTTTCCATTTTAGTATAAAATCTACTGCAACATTTCTTAATTTTGCGTCTACTTTAATCTTATAAAAGGATTTTTGATTCCGTTCAATTCAGAGATTTTTATACGAAATGTTAAACTTAAAATTCTAAAAGACTGATATTCATAATCGGTTTTTATTTTAAAATCGTCTTAAGTAATGTTAAGTCGTTAATGCGGCCTTCTTATTCATGATATCTTAAGACTTATATTTAAGATTATCTTAAATATAAGCTCCAACTGAACCGGCCTAAGAATTCTTAAGGACTCTGCACAATAAAAGAAACAGAAAAACAGAGAATAAGAATTTCAACCTATTAGAAACTGTATATTCCACAATACATGATTTCTGATAGGTTGAAATTCTTATTCTCTGTTCTCTGTTCTTTTTTATTGCGCAGAGCTCCTTAAAATTTCACAATATTTAAAAATTTATTTATCATTTCTTGTCACATCTTGTCTAATATTATATTCTTTTAACGTTTTGCTAATTTTTGAGAAATTAGATCCACAGGTTAATAATCTTTCAAATTAAAAATTTATAATTAAAAGTTTAAAGATCTTATTTCAAAGAAACTTTTTCGGAACTTTAATGACAACCGTTTTTTAGATATAAATAATAATATTTTTGAAATTATATGTTTATATTTTTTAGAATTTAAAGTTCTAAAAATTAATATTTATTTATTAAACAAAAAGAAACAATATGAAAGATGTACATAATTTAATTAATAGATTCATTGTGTGATAATAATGATTGACAAGTCAACGTATTTAATTGATGTGATATCTACAGATGACACTAAAGTCATCTTCTCAAAATTCAAGCCGTTTGTTCATCTTCAGATTGTGTGAATCATAATCTATGATTTTTTCTTTTGGAACAAATTGTCTGGCGTTTCTGTTATTATTTAAATGGCCACGTTGTGTTTATACGCATTTGTTGTATAAAGTAATTTCGTAAGTTTCTCCTGAACTTTCGGAAGCTGTTGACACATCGCTTAAATATATATACGATACGGAAGAATAAAATATGCGAATCGATGTATACGTATGTCACCGGCCGGTAATTTTGTGTACGTGGTCAGTGATGAATCTACCCGGCATTGCGGTTGCATGTGCGTTGTTAGAGGCGTGTCAAACACTTGAAAATTAGGGAGCGTGTGTTTATTTCAGAACGGAAACGCTCGTCGCTTGCATTTCACTCGGTGTTTTATTTCGTGCGATTATAACCTCCTCGAGTAATAACGAACATGTGTTCAGATTGCATGCAAGCTAGATATATAGAACTATCTGTTGTTGTCGCTTAAAAATTAGCTTTATCTATCTCTTATTGTACATTACGCAGTACCTCTCTAATTGATAATAGTAATGCATTTAGACAGCGTGCATATATAAAAGACGTTATAAAGATGTTTTTTGAGAAACATATCTAAAAGATATTTAAAGAACATCATAAAAAGAAATCTTCTAGACATATGGTACTTTTCAGCAAGAGCTGGAAGATGCTTTCCAGTAACATAAATAGACGATACTGTCAATACAGTGTACAATTCCATGCTTTCCAATTATAACATAAGTTAATACAAGGAAATAAATATGTTTACCAAGGACTCTCTTTCTTTAAAATAACAAAAAAATAATCTAGGCTATTAAGAGTTACGGAAGGAGGTGCACAAAAATTTAACAAGTAAAATTGTTACTCCATTTGAAGTACAAATGTCTTCGTTTAAAAAAGTTAATATAAATGTACATAGCTAAAATGCTAGGTACTTTCCAGCAAGAGATACAGATGACAAAGTAGATATAATACAAAATCGTTACATCTTTGTTTACTAATGTTAAACAAAGAAATGATCACTGTACTGTACTATGTCTCTTGCAGAAAAGCACCAGCTGTGTTATATCATTATTTTATATCATTTCATAAATACCAAATTTTTATATTTCTTTACCATTTATCTTTCTAAAAATAATAATTGATAAAAGATTTTAAGACTGTATTTGGATATATTTAGACAAGTGTATGATACCTTCTTTTTCACTTTGAGTAAAATAAAAAGACTAAGCAGTGTTTTAACTATAAGTAACATTGTGTATTATTGTCATACAGTATATGATTATTCCATGGCTCGAAAGCATCTACAATATAACACAATGATTATTTTATCTTTGTTTAATATTGATAAATAATAAGTTATAATAATTGACTGTATTACACTATATCTATGTCTCTTATTAAAAAGTACCTAATGCATGTTGTTTAGGATATGCTAACACACAAGTATATATGGTAGAAGGATGGTTTAAAAGAGATTTTTGATTTATTTGCAGATTGATGCTGTAAGATAGAGGATTTATTTCATTTAAAATTACTGTGCATTTCTCTGCATTGATATGGCAACATTACTAAAGACAAGGGGATTGCGTATGACAGCGCAGAAGCAAGAGACACTTTTGAAATTAACTGTGCTTTCCTTAGCAGCAATTTTATGTAGGTTTATTATCATCTTTGTACTTTAATTTATCAGATAAAGAAATATTAATTAGTTATATTCAATCATTTTTGTATTACAATATTTTTTCCAGCATTTGCAACACGTTTGTTCTCAGTGCTAAGATTTGAAAGTGTTATTCATGAATTTGATCCGTACTTTAATTATCGCACCACAAAATATTTAGCTGAAAATGGATTCTACAGTTTTCACAATTGGTTTGATGATCGCGTTTGGTATCCACTTGGCAGGATAATAGGAGGTATTGATTGTGCTTATAAATTTTGATACAGATTCTCTTAAAAAGAAGAAGAAAAAACTTAATATTTTAAATACATTACTTTAAATACTATTTTAAGATTAATTTGAAAAATTTGGGGAGATTATTAATATTTCAGATTGATTGTGTTGAAAGTCCGACAATCATATCGGCACGCAATTCTCATTTCTGAAATTAATTCATTTATATGAATATATATAATAGTTCAACATCTTAATTAATTCAGATCGTAGTGGTGCTTCATATTTAAAGTAATGCATTTAACATAAACGATTTTATTTCTAATCTTATTGTTAATATTTTAAATATTAATTTTAGGAACCATATATCCTGGTTTGATGATAACTTCCGCAGCATTATATCGTATCTCATGGTTATTGAATATTACACTAGATATACGCAACATTTGTGTCTTCCTCGCTCCGTTGTTTTCAAGTTTAACAACAATTATTACCTATTTGCTTACTAAAGAATTAAAAGTATAGTTTATATTTTTATCAAATTATACAGAATATAGCATCTTATTTGAAGATTAACTTAATTTTAAGATTAACAGCATTCTATTCATGTTCAATTTATTTTTTTAGGATTCAGCATCAGGCCTATTCGCAGCTGCAATGATTGCAATTGTACCTGGTTATATATCTCGGTCAGTCGCAGGTTCTTATGACAATGAAGGCATAGCGATTTTTTGTATGCTATTTACATACTACATGTGGATTAAAGCTGTGAAAACAGGAGCGATATGTTGGGCTACGTGCGCCGCACTGGCTTACTTCTATATGGTGTCTTCTTGGGGCGGATATGTTTTTCTAATTAATTTGATTCCATTGCATGTGTTAACATTGATGGTGACTGGCAGATTTTCTCACAGGATATACATTGCATATAGTATTTTATATTGTTTAGGAACTATTTTATCTATGCAGATCTCATTTGTTGGTTTTCAACCTGTTCAAAGTTCCGAGCACATGCTTGTAAGTTGTGATAATATTTTTAATAAGCATTATTAAACAAGTGAATATCAGTATTTGATTTCAAATATAAAATTTTATTTCGTCTATTTTTCTTAGGCATTAGGTGTTTTTGGCCTCTGTCAAATTCATGCATTAGTAGATTATTTGCGGAGTAAATTATCTCAAAAGGAGTTTGAGATATTATTCCGTGCTCTGCTTGCTGTGGTGATTACAACATCATGTGTAGTTGGTGGTATTTTAACCATCACAGGTATTGATCATGTATTTCTTTAACCCATTATATATATAAACATTATATATATAAAACATTATTTCACATTCATGATATACTCTTATGCACATTGCTTAATTTTTTTTAAGGAAAAATATCACCATGGACTGGACGCTTTTATTCCTTGCTCGATCCATCTTATGCAAAAAATCATATTCCAATAATTGCTTCAGTTTCGGAACATCAGCCAACATCATGGAGTTCCTTCTACTTTGATCTGCAGATACTTGTATTTTTGTTCCCATCAGGCTTATACTTCTGTTTTTCTAAGCTAACAGATTCGAATATTTTCTTAATTTTGTATGGAGTTACTAGTTTATAT